AATTATAAAATTTAGAAGAAACTGAGAAGATAAAATTATAAATATATAAATAAATATATTAAATAATTATTAAATATAAAAAAGAAAATTATAAATTACATTGATATGCACAGCTATCAACTCCAAAGATAAACTACTGCAAATAAATATAATAAGATATCTCTTTTCTTCATTATTGGATAAGAAATAAGTACTACTTGTAGTCCACCTCACTATGTTGACATTCATGTAATCTTCTCATGAAAGAAAAATTTTATCCTATCATTAATGATTTTTAAATAATCCTATTATCATTATATTAATTCATATATTATCTTTAAAATATTTAAAAGGTTTTTAATTCAATTTTACAAATTTTTTTTAACAAAATGAAAGTTATATTTTCATTTAAATAATAAAATATTATAATATATTTAATTAATTTCAACACATTTTCACATAATTTTTTTTCATACAAAAGTCATATTTTCTTTCCATAAATGTTTTAGAAGAACGTTAGATCAACGTAGGGTTTCGTCACGGTTTAGTCTAGAATCGTCCGGAGCCTGGACTACATTCGGTCGGTTTAGTATATGTGGATGGGAGCTCCATCAGGTCTTCGTCCAGATTTGTTGTCGGGAATTTTATCATATTAATTTTAACTTATATCAAAGTGAACTAAATTGATAAATTTGTTTCTTTTTTCTTCTAGATTGTGATTAATGGCTCAAGATCAATCTAGAGACCACATAATCCCTTGAAGAATGCGTGCAATAAAGACAAATTTTGCCTCTCCTAGTTTAGGTAACCAACACATGGTGTCAGCGTTGGATGACTTTCATGGGGACCCAAATAAAATTATTTTTTTATTATTATGAATCAAAATGAATAAGAAATAAAGTGAATATTAAAGTTGTTTTGTTAAAATTAAAAAAAGAAGAAAAACAGATATATGAATAGTACAAGAAATTTAATTTTGTTGGTCTTTAATATCTCTTAATAAATGAATAATATTTATATTAAATATTAATGTAAAAATAATTACAAATATAAATATATTTCACCTTCATAGTTCATATATAAATTTAAGTTTAATTGCATATTTATTGTTAAATTATCATCGTTTAATTTCTAATGAATTGATATATCATAAAAATGTTAAAAAGCAAAAAAAAAAAATTAGAAACGGTGTTATGGTATAAAAACTAGTGATAAAATAAGCCCTTTTTTCAATTAAAAAAATGGATCTTCATTAGAAATTTAGTAAAAAGGTAAAGTGTGTTAAAATTCAAAAGTTTGATGATAAAATATATGAAAAATAATTGAATGATAAAATTCAAAAAAATGATGTACGTTGTAAAAGTACATTCTTAGTTTAAAAGTGTACTTTATCTAAATATATTTTGGAAAATAATATTTCACAATTCAAATTCATATAATTTTAATAAATAACTCTCTTTTAATATTATAATAATAATTTTTTTATTTTTATTAAATCATTTTATAAATTATTATATTTTTATAAATTATTATATTAATAAAAATGAATTATTTAAAGGGTGGAATGATTTCTAGTTCCACTCATATATTTTTTATTCAAGTATGTGTATGGCACTCCGATTGAAGGTGGAAACGATTATTTGATGGGATGATCCCGAAATTGAATGCATGAGTTAAGATAGAGTTTATAAGAGATTCTAGAACAGCTTTTCAACAACATGACATGGGTAAGAATGGAAGGCACTGGACAAATTTAATTTTTCTATAAACATCTATCCTACAACTTTCATTCCCCTTATACATCTTATTATAATATTACTATTTATAAATTTATTATTTTTTTATGGTTATTAATATCAGCACCTTATTTATGAATCACCTTTTAAAATATGTGGTGGGGAAAAATCGTTTTTAAAATGGATTTTAAGTGTTTTTTTTTTTTTTACTTTTAATAAAGAAACAAGCATGTCTTATTGACATCTGTGAGATATGTTTCTTATCAAATAAAATTTTATTAAATTTATTTAATGATAACAGGGTAATGATGGATATAAATTTATTGGAAGTATTTTAATGGATATAAATATCCCTAATAGAAACTAATCAGCAAACTTGAAAGCACTAATGGAGGCGATAGTTTTGTACCCAGTACCTCTGATAGGTCACTTGGTCTCCACCATAGAACTATGCAAACTCATACTCACTCACAACCCCTCCCTCTCCGTTCACATCCTCATAACCATAGCACCCTATGACACATCCTCCACTTCCCACTACATCTCCACCCTCTCCACCACCCTACCTTCCATCACCTTCCACAACCTCCCCACTTTCCAACTCCCTCCAACCCTTCTCTCCTCCTCACTCAACCACGAAGCCCTCTTGTTCCACCTCCTCCACCACAACCACCCTCACATCCACCAAACCCTCCTTTCCATCTCCAAAACCCACACCATCCAAGCCCTCATCTTAGATATTCTCTGCTCCCAATCTATTTCCATTGCTTCACAACTCAATCTCCCTGCCTATATTTTTTGCTCTGCAAGTGCTTCAACCTTCGCCTCTTTTCTTTATCTGCCCACACTCCATCACACCTATGATAAGTGCTTCAAAGAACTCAACTCCTTCCTTGACATCCCCGGTGTCCCACCAATGCCATCGCGGGATATGCCGAAACCTTTGCTTGAACGCAACGATGAAGCCTACCAACACTTCCTAAACTGTGCTTTTGCTGCACCCAAAGCCGCAGGGTTTATTATTAACACATTCGAAGCTCTTGAACCAAGAAGCATCAAAGCAATTTCTGATGGTTTATGCTTACCAAATTCTCCAACATCGCCCCTTTATTGTTTGGGTCCTATAGTAACCACCACGGACCAAAAGAACACCAGTGACCATGAATGTTTGAGGTGGCTGGACTCACAACCTAGCAAGAGTGTCGTCTTCCTGTGTTTTGGAAGTTTGGGTGTGTTTTCTAAAGAGCAACTGTGTGAAATCGCTATTGGGTTGGAGAAAAGTGTAGTAAGGTTTTTGTGGGTTGTGCGTAACCCCGTTACTGATCAAAAGCATAACCTTGCTTTGGGTTCACAAGAGGACCCGGATTTGGATTCGTTGCTACCGGAGGGTTTCTTGAATAGGACCAAAGAAAAGGGCTTGGTGGTTAAAAACTGGGTCCCACAAGTAGAGGTGTTGAAGCATGACTCGGTGGGTGGGTTTGTGAGTCACTGTGGGTGGAATTCGGTGCTTGAAGCGGTGTGTGCTGGGGTGCCACTGATTGCGTGGCCACTTTACGCGGAGCAAAGGTTCAACAGGGTGGTGTTGGTAGAGGAAATGGAGGTTGCACTGTGGATGCATGAGTCTGAGTCGGGTTTTGTGGCGGCGACTGAGGTGGAGGAGCGAGTGAATGAGTTGATGGAATCGGAGAGAGGGAAGCGAGTTAGGAACCGGGTCATGGTTTTAAAGGATGAAGCCAAAGCTTCTCTTATGGAAGATGGGTCTTCACATGTAGCATTGAACAAACTTTTGGACTCATTGAAGAGCCAAGTAAATCAGTGAAGTAACTGAAGACATTGTTGACTTGAATATAGTTTTAAGGTGGTGATATCCACAATAATGTAGAATATACATCATAAGGTAGAATTTCTCTTTCAATATATAATATAATAACATGTATTTCATCATAAATCATCATTTTCTATGCTTTTAATATTATTTTATCTTAATAGATTGGAAAAGTTTATTTGACAATAAGTTTTGTCTTATACAGAATATATTTATTAGACAAAATACAATAAAAAAATTAATATAATTTTAATTTTTGTAGTTGTTCTTGGGTTGGGTTGTATTGGATGTAGATATAATATATTATTAGGTTATGATTGCGCGAGTAACGTGCAAGTTGTGCTACCACTTTTGTTAAACAAGTGGTGAAAACCATGAATGCTGTTCAAGTACAGACAATAATAAAATAAAAATAATATATAGAAGATCCATATTGCAGAAAAACAAATGAAGCATGAAAACATAACATATAAAACTAGGAACATGGTTCCACGTAATAAATCTTGTTTATGCTAAAAATTAAAATTAGCCAAAGAGTTAACACAAACATTTGTCTTCTCTAAAATATGAGAAAGTTGTAATGACACAGACGAGAAGAATTTGGATCCATCTTACACGAATATGCCAGGGAACAATGTGTTGTTGGTCACCAAAAGTCTGTAGAACCATTTAAGAGTCACACTCAAACCATTTATAAATATTTTATATTATTGTTATTGTATATTTTATAAATGAATCATGATATCCATTAATTCATTCCTATCTAACTATACTTAACATCCTTTATACACAAAATTTATATACTCTTTTATAAGATCATGTCATAGTTGAATGCTATATTTTTAAAAATAATATTAATTAAATAATTAAAATAAATAAGTTTATTTTTTTAATCTAATATTGAGAATGGAAGAACAATATAAATTAATAAATTTATTATTTATAACTAACTTTTTCAAATGTAAACAAAGGATTTTTTTTCTTCTAAACTATTCTTTATATATAATGTAATGGTGCAGAGGTAAAAAGAAGGGATTTTTTTTCACATTTCAGTTTTTGTGTGAGGATGATCATTTTTTTATTCTATTAATTTTGTACAAGATTTATAGATTTTTAATTAGGACTTGAATATTATTTTTCTCCTCATTATCATTTTATGTGGCATTTAGCTATTATGAATTCATAAATAATGTGATATATTAATAGAATTTCACTCAAATGAGATGTTAACCACTGAAGGAATGAATAATTTGCTCAATCAACAATAAATCTAAACAATCCATTTATATAATCAAATAAAAGGGCAAGCGAAGGGATAATCAAAAGCATTTCATTTCTATCATTCAGAGATCTATTATCAAAACACGACAAGGTAATTCACCTCTACAGCAAAATGCTAATGAGAGAAATCCATACTAACCAGAAATACACATTTGGACAATCTACACAAATAAGGCTAGCTACTTTTCCAACTTTATGGAGCCGCTGAAGACTTTATTGATAAAAAATATTGAATGTAGGAAAGAATGCAGGGCCAATTCGTGAGGAGACTGAGGCTTTGCTGAAGAGCATTCTCCATTTTTCATATCAATAGCAACCTCAGACGACAGAAGTCAATATAAAGAATTGTAGGTAAAGCAGGTTGCAAGGATGGAAGTAATGCAGATGAAGAGTGAAGGAAGGAGTGTCACGTTAAGGAGCATACTCTGACGCACGTACCCAGCCAGGGTAATAGTTGCATCAGCAACCACCCTAGCAAGTGTCCCAGCCTCTGTAGACAAAAGTCCACCATTATATGTTCCACGTGAAAGCCTTGACGACATTACTCGCGAAAGCAGTGACAAGTTGACACCTGGAATGGATGAAAGTTAAAAATAGTTAGATCAACTGCACTCTGGTCAGGAAAACCAAAACTAAAAACATTACATCAGCAACTACCAAAACCCTTTTGATATTTGTGTCAGCAAGAAGCTGTAATTACATTGTGTACTTATTATCCTACTTGCATCAATATTAAAGCTTTTATGACTGAAATGACCATCATGTGTTATGCAGCTACGATTAAGCCATTAGTATTCTCATCAAGTTTGATATATTTGTTGGACAACTACAGAAGCGACACAAATGAGCCTTACAAAGTTTAACTTGTTTCATGTTCCTTGATGAAATGTCTTGTCATTTAATTTTTAAAACAACAAAAGGGTGGAATCCATCAAAATATGTAATTTACAACTCACATTATCAACCACATGATCTTTTCGTCGCCCCTATAATTTCAGTATAATACTGCTCCTGATGCTTAAAAGTGAGAAATGTTTTATCAGTTTTTATTACTGAAATTTCATGGTTTCACATAATGGGACAAAACATTGTATTCATTGTGGTCATATTCCTCACGAATGTAGGGCATACTAACAAATTGCTTACTTTGCATTCACAATACAATACAATCCTATCCATAATCATAAATAATGAAGGAAAATAAGATCTTACCTTCAAGTACTTCTGCAGAAACAAATAAAAGGAGACCCGAACAGATGTATTGCGGCTCAGAATATGGGAAGATAACTTGGAAACTCAGTACAACACCTATGAGAACCATAATTTCTGATGCCAACAAAATTTGCCTAAAACAGATTAAAATAATTAATCTCTCAGATGCACAAAATATTTCAACAACTTCTAATTCTGTAAATGATTCTAGTAAAAGAGGAGTGAGGATCTGAATCTCTAGGACATTTTCCCTTCTCATATTATTACATATCAACAAGCGTTATCCTATATGTTTTGGCAAATCAATCTAAAGCATTAACCTGATTATGGATGACAATCAAATGAAAATGGGTTTCGTTACACATTACCTGTCCTGGAACATGTTGCTTATATAGCTTCCAACAACAATATTTACAGGAAGAACTGTCAAACCAAGGCAAGCAAGAAAAGCGGCAACCGTGCTTGTTGACCAGTTGAAGTAGTATGTTGTAACGACACTAGATTCCGATAACAAAATCTCCATTACATATTTGAGCATGAAATATATCAATAATTGAACCTGGAGATGATTCAAAATTTTGGTCAGGTAAATCATTTAAAGTCCCAGTATTTTATCAAACTATCATCTTCGACTGTATGAGCATCATTTCATATGACATGAGAGGAGAAAGTGTCCATCCTACAAAATTAGCTCCACTTTATGTGGTGATTCAAAGATGCTAAGGAATTATTTTGAGTATTTTACTAATAGTTAAGTGCAGCAAAAAGCCCTGATACATCCTAACCAGTTAACATGTGGAAATAATGTAAAAATAAAATTAAAAGCAATAATCAACTCCATTGGATTTGGATGTATCTCGATTGTATGTTCAAGAGACTAGTAATCACCTAAAAATCATTTCATACCACAGTATCTTCAGAGTTTTGCTCACAGTTGATCATATACGAAAATAAGCCTCCCTAATTTATTAAACTATGTTAATCTTCACGAAATGTGGAGCTAAAGAGTTAAGAAGACCTTGGGTGTCATCTTTACATCTTACCTTTTTGTTTGTCTAAACTAGATTTACTTAAGCAATGAACTAGTATTTTGCTTAATTTCTGCAACTAAATAATTAATCAATAATATTTCACATAAAGGTAAATCAGACATTTAAGTGTGGCAACCACTTATGAAATTATTATAACATTTTACAAAACAAATTATGTAGAATAGCATTAAATTATGGGAACCAATCACTTTATTTTTCAAAAGTCCTCTTTGGAAACTTCCTAGAAAAGGCAATTATTTCCATTATATAAGCTAATCTAAGCATGCACTCGGTGCGTTAGCCACAAGGTAGCTATGGAATATAGTTGCATGGTGTTCAAAAATATATAACATTGTTGAAAAGCCACCTTAATTGTGGTCAACCCCAACCAGCCTAAGTTGTTGCCTCTTTGGAGCTTGTCTATACTGCACCCTCAATGTTGAGAATTCAAGTGTAAGTTTGGAGTCCCACATTATATAGAAATGAGAAAGTTAAGTAACTTATAAGTGAGAAAGACCTATAATCTAATATTTTAAGATTTTGGGTTGAAGGTGATGTCATATCCTTGGTTGGCTCATATCTTATTTGTAAGAATCTTCTTGTTAGTCCCCCCTCAAAAGACCCAACACTCATCGACCTTTGACATGACTAAAATAAAATATATAAGTGGAATGTAATCTTTTCCTTACAAATGGACTCTGTAGAGTTGAAATCCAAATTCTAACATAGTATCAAATTCTATCCTAGATCTATTGTTGGGTCAGGTGTATTGGTCGCAGTCCATGCTCGAACTCCTAGCCCGCCAAAGTTGCAACCTCATTAGGGGTAGTCTATATTGCTATCATAAGGGTGCTGGTTTAGTTTTACATAGACAAGTGATGTGACTAAAATAGAATATAAAAGTAGGGTTCAAACTTCACCTTATAAACCAATTTTGTGAGTTGAATTAAACTCAAATCCAAATTCTAAGATGACATAAAAAATCTATCGTATATCATATTTTATAGATAGAAATCCAATAAAATTGCGGTGATAGGAATCTTCTCACAAACCTTTACAGAAGGTGTAAGGAGTCTATATGCTGCTACAATTGAATTGACTGGCTGGCGAGATTCCTCTGGAGCTTCTTCACTATCATCACAATCTTGGTCAGCATCTTCCTCAACCTTACTCACTTCTGAACTAATTAGCAATGGTTGATTTAGGCCTTTTTCAAGTGCATTGTTTGCCTCTGGACAGACGAAAAAGTGCGTCATTTTCTATTACTTGCATTGAGGCTCATCAGTATGATAAAACTCATGACAAAAAATACATTACATGTAACATAAAGTTAAGTAATAATGCGATCAGATTATTTTTATAAATATTGATGGGATTAATATAGGCCATTGAAGCAAAAATTATTACCTATTATTCACTATTTGCACAGTATCATATTTTGGCAGAAGAGTTACCAATCGGCTTCCAAAGAAAGATTATAATATAGAGATTAATGGTTAATGCCTTCTTAAGATTAAAGGCTAATTTCCATAATATGACTTGCTAAGTAGTTGCAATGTGTATCGTGTAGAATATGGACAACAAAACACAGAAATTTACCATTACATGTATTTTAACCGAAGTGGCACAAGTCAAAAATCACAACAAATACAATCAAGACTAAACAAGATAAGGGTAAAATTTACAAAGCTCCATTGTACTAAAGACGATACATACCAACATATACATTATATTTAGGTTCTCAATGAATATTCTAGTGATACAATATGTCTAGGAAGCTAAGGATATGGAGATCTCATTGACTCATCCACACCATTTCCATCAGAAATTAAAAACTAAAACAAAATAGAATCAATTAGGGAGGGATCAATGTTTCGAGAGATAGTGTTGACATGCTGAGAACCATTTTCAACAACCCATATTTCATGATTTTAAAAATTCCAAGTCCAGCCAAATTCACCATTCAACCATTTAAATGATTCAGGAATAAATGTATCAGAAAAAGCATCGGAGTAGCACCCATTGAAACAGAGTCTCAGATAAAAGATAGTTGGAATAGGTTAATAGAAGACCAATAAGAAAAGTTGATCAGACAGAAAATAGCTCAACAAAAAGGTGTAGTAAAAAAACTAGTGAAAAATATAAGAGAAATCATTCAACAGGATCAGATCTAAATGTCCTTTCTAAATCCTATTTTTTGACATAGGACAGTGGCATCATTTGATCCAAGCAGCCATCACATTGTTTCTGTTAAAAGTCCCAAAAATCAAACTCTTGTGTAGAGCAACTTTTTTCCCCTCACTTTTGATGAACAAGAATACGATCTATTATGATTATAGACTAATTTTATTTATTTATAACATTCTTAAAAGAAACCAGTAATCAGTGAGACATACGGATTCATGATTTTCAGAATAATTGAGCCAAAAACTAAAGGAATCAAATGCTTAAAAGTATTAAACAATAAGTATCAAGTTGATGCAAAATAAATTCAGTACCATCATTTGATTGATGTGGTGTATGATCCTCTTCAGCTTCATGAGAAGGTTCCTTAAAAGTGATGCACAACCATACCAGATATATTAGCCAAGCAACAGCCATAACCCACCCAGGCAAGGTATTCTGATTAAATGTAAGCTTGTAAATTTTAAAATTAGTTTGCAGTATGCCAGCTAATGCAGGACCACAAGCCATTCCAAGAGCACTAGCACTAACAAAACCTGCTGATGCTTGCATGCGGATTTTTAATGGCACACAATCACTGATATAACGCCGGTTAACAGCTCTGGCTGAACCAAATCTGCAATAAAGTTCAGTGTTACAAAGAAGTCTTAACATGATGGTAATCCGTGTATATACTTTTCAACTAAATATGAGAACATAATTTGTGCATAACATGAAAATAGTGGTATACTAAGATCCTATTTTAAAATCTATTGTATATCCTCTTTCAATTCCGATTAGGATTAGCTTTTCCATGGAGCCAATTTACAAGGTATCTTATTCTGCATTGCTGAAAATGGTAGTAAGCCTAGTGGTGGGACTAAGTGAAAGATTTTATCTTATCTAAAGTTAATGCACAATAAAATAAATCATGGTTATCAAGTAATGACATGAGCATAAGAAATGAGAGATTGCTTACCCACACAAAAGGCGACCAATTAAGAGAATCCATATTGAACTAATATCATATGCCAATGCATACAAGATATTTCCGAGAAAAAGAACTATGCTACTGAATACAAGAGGTCTAAAGTATGACTTATTTGACCATGCACTAAAATACACTGATGAAAACACTTGCGCAACAGCCATTGCCCCGATCACAATACCACAAACTGTTGGCGCAGCCCCAAGGCTCATAGAGTAATCATCCGCTGTAGGGACAATAATATATGTATTGACCATATATAAAAATGTGTTTGCCAAGTTCAGGAGAAGAGACATAAAATTGTATCGTTGATCATCAACATGTTCCTCAGTAGGGCTAGGCAGTTCTTCTTGCATAATGAGTGCATGCTGCCCCAAAAAGTTAAGGAAGTTTGTTGAGTTGGTTAACCTATCAACGGCTGCATTTATTGAATCAACGACCGGATCCTGCATACAAGACCAAGTATATATGATAAAAATCCCCACAAACCATGAGCTGCTACAGAGCTACCTAACCAGAAGCATGCCTGAGAACATTAAGAAAGAACATAACAAACAAAGCAAGTGTAAGTGGAGCAAAGTATATATATGCAAAAAAGACCTGGAGGGGAAGGGTAGGCTGATCATAAATTGATAAGTAGCTCCCTTGACGGTCCTGAAGTTCATGAAGATTGCGTGATAAGGCTCCCACAACAGCTCCCAGTCCCTGTAAATTCCATATCAGTCAATCAATATTCATTTACAAAATTTATAGACTGTTGGGTAAGCCTAATCAGTAGTAAGTTACAACAGGTTAGTTAAATATCCATGTATTAGTTAGTGACTTAGTTGGGGCATGGATAATTAGAGTAATAAGGTATTTGTGAGAGAATTGAGATCTTTGAGCATTGGGAGATATAGACCCTTCATGCAAGTTAGGCAAAGCATTGAGGGGAGAAATCCCTTATTCTTTCTCATAAGATACCAGGTTTCTATCAACTATATGGGAATTCATTTGATGTGTATTTAATTCAGTAACAGTCATGCTTGAACAAAATACATTACCACATGCTTGAACACTTGTTGCAGCTGGGAGTAAGGATGATTTGCACGAGTTTTGACATAGTAATCCGTGAATCTATAGCCAAAGCGTTTATCAAACTTCTTCAATATCTTACGCAAACCAATGGCATTGACCTCTACAAAAAAGAGAAGCTTTAATAGATCTTGTCCCAATGCTCTGTAATCTTCTCGTAATGCAATTATTTTGTTTATTTCAGGTTCCTCCTGAAGAGCATCGCGCTGCTCTCCAAGCTTTGCTATCCGGCTAGCCAAGAGCCCTTGTTGCTCCAACAGGAAAAGGACGATCTTCTCAATCTGGTTAGCAACAAAAGGAAGTGATTGAAACAAATGTGTCGAGAAGCATCTAAGATTCCCAACAATACAACACAAAAACATTTTTGATAACAGTATGATTCATTCCACTCACATAATCTCATTCATACCTATAAGCATAACCAGAATCTAATTTGAGTATTAAAAAGAATGAAAAGGATCAACCTTCATTCAGTACTACATAATTAAGCATTCAACAAAGAAAATAGAAAAACCTGATTATCAAGCATTCGTGAGAAATCCTTGAGTACATGTCGCCGATCTTGTGTACCAAGCTGAATTTGTTGGGCATACTGCCTGACTCGTTTCTTCATGAGTTTGTAGTTTATGTAATATCTGCAACAAAAAATCAAACTTATGAACCTGAAGTACCATTGAAGCAGGGCTAATATTCAACTCGGAACTTTAGAACCCTCAAGACCACATACCCTTGCCATTCTTCAATTTGTCTGTCTTTCAACTTCTTCCCAAAGGCAACCATCTCTTTCAGCAATGGGAAAGGTTATTCTCCCCGAAAGCAAACTAAATCAATCAACAAAAGGGTCAAACTGGTTATATCCAAACCAAAACCATTAGAACCAGACTAGTTCAGTTCGCAAAAAACCACTTTAATCGGGCAAAACACAACATAACATGGTCTTAATCCAACACAGTAATCATTTAAGCTATTTCTGGTATAAAAAATGGTAAAAGGCAAACAGAGAGAGGCTACCCCATTTCAAGGCCCAAAACATATAAAAAAAAATCTTCAAAAGCATACAAATGGTATTTACAAATAACAAGTCAGACTTGCTGGCAAATCGAAATTATGCTTTAGAACGCATGAATCTACACACCCACTCCCATATTCGTATTGAAGAACATGTTACTCAAATGAACACGCAACTTTTACAGAACAATACAACAAAATACATGTACTAGAAAAATTTAAACATGTGCACCAAGAAGAAAAATGAAAGAAAGAAAAGAAATATTAAAAAAGAAAAAGAAAAAACACTTCAAAATATTGAAAAACAAGATTGAATCTGTGGTCATACGAAGGTTCAGTTGCTTCCAGCTCAGTAACAAAAAAAAGAAAAAAAAAAACGATCTTTGTTGGTTTTGTCTTTTTCTTCTTCTTTCCGCCTTTGATTCTGTGGAGAGGATTCTTAGCCACCAACAAATGGAACACTAACAACAATCAGTATCATTATGTTGGCTGAAGAAACTATCACTATTATATAATGGACGAAGATGGCACCAGATACCCATGTTAATAAAAATAATAATAAATTGATAAAAAAAAACACATAAAATGATAAGAAAAACACAATAATTTATTTAATTTTTGTAGACTAAAGTATTAGTGAACAGAGAATAACAGATTCCAGTGTTATTATGCATTAGCCGCCATAATTTAGTTTCAGGTGTCTTCATCTTTATCCCATAAAAACAACTAGTACTATTTTAATGGTTAAAAACCTAAAACAGTTTAATTTTAAGTATCTTTAAACTATTTTTTGAATTGGTCTCTAACTTAATTTTTTTTTTCAATTAGGTTTTTGTCGTTAATTTTTTACTGAAATTACCTATTATTTAATTGAAAACAAATACAAGTTCATAAAATTAATTCAGAAATTTAATTGTAATTGAAATAAGTAAATATTTATTTTACAATTAATTTTTCAATAACTAAATATGTTAAAATATAAATATATTATAGATAAATTTAATACCTTAAACATTAATTATATATCTATATTTATAATAACCAATTTATTCTTTGATATGATATTTTTAATTATGAATGTATTTGAAAAATATTAAAATTTAAGTTAAAATAAAATATGTTGAAAGTAATGTATAGAAATAAATGACATTTTTTTATTAAAGTAAATATTAAATAATAATTAAAATTATTTATGTTTAAGATAATTATTATTTATTTTGTAATAGACAGACTAGCTTTATAAAGTACACTTCTTTATATTTATCAAACATGTTAAGATTGAAATTTGGAAACAAATTAAAATGAAGTTTGACTCAATTTATTATTTAAAAAATTATTTTCTAAATGAAATCTTCATTGTTTATATTTTAATTATATTAAATTTGATTGCTTTTTATAAGAAAAAGATAAGGACAGCAATTAAACTAACTACTACTTATATTAAATATAATAAAATATTGAATATATCATAATTAAAAAATAGTAATATAAATATTTAAAATACATGTGATAAATACATTCCTCAATAATTTATTTTGAGATTACTTTACATATAAACTATTATCTGGCACCACATCATAAGGCATCACAAATTGTGGATACGCTTGATTGATAAGAACATAATCAGAAAAAACAAAGTCCTTGCTTTCTTGAGAATTGGTCAAACAAGTTTAAAATTTCTGCTGAATCGTAAATTAATTATTTAATTTAGTACATTAATTTTCTCAAAATTACATTTACCTGTTAATATTTTAAAATTTAACCTGAATATATACTAATTAACATATGATGAAAAATAATATATTAACTATTATTTATGTAAACACATTCACGTGAGGGCTTAATAAAAGGAAAACTTTTATTTCAAAAAGTAGCATATGTCAACATACAGGGGATATTTTTTTATATTAAAAAAATCGTATCAATCAAATCAATAAATATATAAAAAAAGGAAATGAACCAAACACATGTTATGTTTTGTAATAATGAAGAAATTTTTTTTTTTTTCCATTATTATTTAGACAAAGAGGACCACAAAAATTGTGACCATTTTTCTTAATATTTTTTTAGGGGTTGCGTTGTTTTTTTTTTCCTAATTAGTTAAAAACAGATAGATAAAGTTATTTGTTCATAAGATTTCTCATTCTTATTTCTGCATATATTTTTCCTTATCTTATTTCCTGAATTTTCTCATTTTTCTTATACATATGTATTCTTTATATTATTCTTTATATGTATTGATACTTACATTAATCCGTATCATTTTTGTCATTAATATCATTATACCATTTCTATCTATACAATATCACAATTTACATTTTATTATTATTATTATTATTGAAACCACAATAATTTTTTATTTAATTTTTAATTTAAATAATAATTAATAAATAGACATATGCTCAAATATTTGGCAAATATACCATTAACTTATAATTAAAATGACCATCTCTTGAGAATCATTTGGTGGTCATCATATAGTGTAAAATAAAATCATTATTCTATTAGATAATAATCATAATTTAATTATTGATAGAATATCATATTTTTTATTTTATTTTATTAGGGTACTGTATTATTTTATTTTAAAGAAAAATCAAGTTTAAAAAAATCATCGAACTCTATTTAAATTACCATGGTTATGGTAATTTTTTTATATCACAATAAATAATTATTAGATTCAGTAACGTTAATTTGCCATTTCATTTCATTTAAGTTAAGAACACGTTTTCTTTCTTAGACTTTACTTTATGGCACACATTTGATCAATATCAATGTTCCTTTCACGTACCTTATTGTTGAGTAATTTATTATTTCTTGTGAATTTATAGAAAGTAAAATGGAATAAATAAACATTGGCAAGGAGGTCAATTTCAATAGCTTATATATGGGTATATATATAACTTTTAAACTAATTCTCTCCATGAATTTAAACTTTTTCTCCATCTTCTACTTTTCTGGTAATTCATTTTCTTTATCCTATCTTATGAAACCTTTTCTTTACAATCTTCTTCTTAAATTGGTGTTTCAAAACTTTTTATGTCAAAATCATTTTTTTAATTCTTTTTGCATATTTAAGTAATTTTATTATTATTTTTAAAATGTTATAGAAAGTATTAGCTTATATTTACTTAAGTTAAAAAATGGAATTTAAATTAATACTGACACTAAATTTCATAAATATAATGCCATTCATTAAAAAAATTGTTGAAAATGATGATAATGAAATCAGATATTTAGTTAAAGGTTAATAAAAAAAGTTTATTATTAATAAAGTATTTTTTATTTCCATTATTTTGTAAAAACATAATTTTTTTTCTTTCTATTATTATTTGAAGATTTAAAAAATATGCACATTAATTTCGATGAGATTTTCAAAAGAAAATAAATCGAAAGAAATATCATACTAAAATGGTAAGCCAAATTCTTCCAAAATAAATTTGTCATTACAAAGTTTGATATGATATGAGTGGTTTTGAGGGGTTTTTTTTATTATTAAAATGAAAGTACGAAGAGAAATACAATTAAACCAAATTAATATCATATTAAAACTATTATGTTATAAAAAAATATTAAATTGAATTTTTTATAAAATATTTTATTCATCAATTAAAAAAGTAAATTAATTTGTAGATGCATTTTAAATTGGTTAAAAATTTAGATTCAATTAAAAATAAGCGCAATTTCTTCTCTTTCTTAAATTTTATTAATTTTAAATTTCAAATATTTTATATTCGTTAGTTTGAAAGAAAAAAAAACTGTTGTATATATTTCTTTTAATTTTTTTTATCTATACTTTTTTACATTTTGATTAAACTAAAACTCAAAACCATGATCAAGTAGATTGACAGGGTAGTTCATCCATTATTTCACAGTTAAAAATATTTGATCAATTGACCGACACAATGCGCGGTTACGAAAAAACCACGTGCATCCTTGTTTACCCATATGTGAACTTGTCAAAGTGGTTACAGCATAAGACATTCGAAATGTTAAGATTCACTTCCTTAAAAAAAAAAAAAAAGTCTATAAAATAAGTCGTGTCCTTAAAATTAAAAAAAATATATTAATAAATTATGACGATAATTATTCATCATATATAATTAACTATTAAAATAAACTTTTAGAGTTGTTCCGGACGCATCTATTTACCAAATCATCATTCTGTATCAATTACGTAACCTTCATGACCATTCAAATTATTAAATTCACCTAATCACGAGAGAATTATATATAAAATTTATAGAATATTAATTTATAATATTTTTAAATAATTTAAATATATTTATAATTAAAGATCCATTTCTTTTCGTAAAAGGATAAACTTTGTTAAATATATATATATATATATATATATATATATATATATATATATATATATATATTATGTATATACTAAGATAATAATTAGTTGTATTTAATGAATAATTAAAATAAATTAAAAAAAATATAAATATAAGTATAAAAGGGTTAAAAGAAAATTAAACGTAGAAGAAAAGGGAAATAGAGAAAAAGAGGTAGAGGTGAGGAGAAAAAAAAGAAAGAGAAAGAAAAAGAGAGTGACAAAAAAAACAACAGAGAGGAAGTGGAAAAATGAAAGATAAGGAAAGAAAGAAAAAGAAAGAAAAAGTAAATTAGATAAAGAAAATAAGAGAAAAGAAGAAAAATATATAAATAATTTTGTTAAAATCCTTGTCCTAGAAAATAATATTTATCATTTTATGATTTTTAAGTAAAGTCTCTTTAATATATATTTTTTTTATGTTTATTTATTTTTAGTTATTTATTATTATTTTTTATTTATTTTCATAGTCATATTTTTTATTTATATTTAGTTATACATGTTTTCTTTTATATTTATTTATCTTTAATTTTATACTAATTTTATTTTATATTATTTATTTATTTTTAATTTTATATTGGTTTTATTTTTTATTTATTTTTAGTTTTATATTGGTCTTATGTTATATTTGTTTTTAATTTTATACTGATTTTATTTTATATTATTTATTTATTTTTAATTTTATATTGGTTTTATTTTTTATTTATTTTTAGTTTTATAGTGATCTTATGTTATATTTGTTTTTATATATATATTGTGAGTTTCATATTATTTAAAAATCAATGATAATTTATATATATATATATATTTTTAAAATTTGTCAAAACGTCTTTTAAAAATAAAATTATAATATAAGAGTTATAAAGAGTTATAAAGTGAACAATACTTTAAACGTAGAAATTGACCTTAAAAAATAATTAATTAAATTGAAATGTGGAAATATTATTTAAATCTTCATAATATAAAATAAATAACAGATAGTTATGGAATTGAAAAGTTAATTTTATATATTATATTGAAATAATATTATTTTACAAAGTATTTATTCTTATTTTCTTAATATTATTTATTGTGCATGTTACAATTTAAATATCATTGATAAATTAACTATTTAAAAAAATATTTTTAATTTTAATAATTATTTATGATAAAACTTTACATATAAATATTTATCTTATATTTTATTTTTGTCAAAATTTAATATAAAATAATCATTTTTTAAAATATAATTAAAATAATTTTTTATAGAAAAATATGTCACATATAATTTATTTAAAAAAATCATTAAAAAGAAAAAAAATAAAAGTAGAAAAATTTATCATTTAAAAAAATAATTATTATGATTTATGTACTTAAAAAGGAATAAAAATAAAGAAAAATCTTGATATATTTTAAAAAGTGAAGAAAATATTATAAAAATTATGGATATGCAGACGCTTTAATATTTATATTTCTACCAATTATATATATAATGAGGTTATTTTGTAACTATTGTTTTGGCATTTAAGAGAAAAATATATATAATATATTAAAAAAATATTTATTATAAATTATATATTTTTAAAAAAATTATTTATATTGCACAACGCATATATGATTAACATTAGATTAGACAAATAACCACCTCCAAACTAAGAAAATTAGAAAATAAATAACATAATGTCATTTTCTAACTTGCATTCCTCATTTAAGTCGTGGTGATATCAGTTATTAGTTTTGATGATCAACCATTCGCAGTTTAGAAAAATTAAAATTCTCAAAATTCAATATTAAAAATAATACATTTTTAAATTTTCTAATTTTGAATAAATTCGAAATACATTTTATTTTATTTTATTAGACTATCTCAGGTGGAAGGAAGTGCTAAGGAAGTTGGATTAAATGTTTAGGACTGAAGCATATATATGAGTTGGCATTTTGTCTTTGCTTGAATCAATCAGTAATATTACTCAAAAAAATTTAAACAAAAAAAGTTATATATATGAGAAACACAATCATATTCATAAAAGGTAGAACCAAAAGTAAAATTTCAGGATCAATTTAAGGATCCACAAAATTAATACATAATTAATTTAAAAAAATACATTTAAATTAAAAATTGTAAGAATTACATGAAGAATTATTGTCGAATCTATCTGAACTTAATAAAATAATTTTAAATCAATCATTTGAAGAGATCCAATCCCCCGCCGTGTCTTTCATGTGGCATAAAAATATATGGACACCGAATCATGCTTCTCGTACAAATGGGTAAATGTGGTCCAGACATTAATACATGAAATAAAATAATTATAATTATAATAATAAAAAATGCATCCCAGTTCACGTGAATTTTGAAAATATTTCAAGAAAAATTATTAACAAATGTTTATTTAAATAATTTTTATATAATTTTCTAGTTTTTTTAAAATAATTTCTACCGCGTTTTCTTTTTTATGAAAAAAGTATTTAAATTATTTGTCTATAGATAAATAGTAAATAAAAAAAATTAACTACGAGACCATATGTAACATTATGTACTCCATCATGGGCTCATCTTAACTACACAACAACAAAAGACAAAGAACATGTGATTATCTTATTTTATGCAAATTATTAGCTTTCGTTAAATTTTAATTTTAAAAAAAATTGCAATAAAATATAAACTAAGAATGATGGTTTTATCATGCTATCGAAATGTGTAAGATTTGGCTCAAGACATGATTTCACAACCTCAACTTTTTTTACGTTGTCATAATTGGAGAAATATATATAACATTTTTAGCAATTAATGCATTATTTATAAGCTTGTGACAAAATTTTAAAATTAATAGTTTGATAGCTTCACACAATTCATTTATATTCATTTTTTTTAAATGTAGTTTAATTTTTGTGAATAAGATATTTTACTAAAATTTACAAAACTTATGGATAAGAATGTAATGACACCTAATAAAAAAAAGGTTAAATAGTTTTTTTACTGTTATTTTTTTAATTTTATTATTATTTTCAGTGTAAAGTTTTTATTTTTATTTTTATTTTGAATGAATGAATGTGGTCATTTCCGTCTAACTCCTCTAAGTTGTTTATTAGAAAGTGGAAATGAAAGTAACATAATTATGATAGTCTATGGATAATGACATTCTTCACATAACACTGCTCATGTAACGACATATTATTAATCATGAATCACATATTGACTTCCACGCCATTGTTATATAATTATATTGGTCTCACATCAATGTCACAATAAGTATGACCAAATGTCACATGACACTTATTTTATATAATAAGGAACCATATTAATTAGCTTTAAAAAATTTGTTATTGAAAATAATAATTTCTACCGTCTTTATTTATTTATTTAGTAATTATTAAATTTTCCATTATTGGAAAGATTGGATCACTAAATTGATGGTGTCCTTTTGAGGCTTGCAAATTATGGAACCATACAAATGAAATGACATTCATGTGTGTTTAATTTGACATGATTGGCCACCTCAAATTTGACAAACCCTACACTCTCATCATAGTTTCATAAATTTCTAAAAACCTTCTCTTTCATGAATAAAATCTCATTTATAATGTATTAAATAGATGAGTAAAATATTCACCAAAAGTGTAATATGAATAATGTTTGTCTAAAGGGTACTTGTTACTTATAAAAGAAGGTGTACTTATCATTTATATAAATGGTCCATAGAATGGGTACACTCTATATGTGTACAAATGGAGGGTTGGTTTTAACCCTTTCATTTAAAAATCCACACTGGATTCATTTTTTATACTGTATTTCAAACTATTAAGACCATTTGCGATTACATATATATACAATATAGTAAGAAAAAAAATAAAATATTAAAGTCAACGACTCCACTGGGGATCGAACCCAGAATCTCTGGTTCCGTAGACCAGCGCCTTATCCATTGGGCCATGGAGTCCCTTTGTTGAATTATTTCATGGCAAGATTTAATAAATAGTTAAGTTAATATCTCATATGCAAATTTTCAGGTTTTGACTTGGGCTTTGACCAGGAGAAATTTTTGCAATCACAATATAATAATAATAAAAAAATCACGAAAAATAAATACTGATAAAATGAACTTCTTTCTTATACTCAATTCAACTTTTTTTTTTTAATTTTGAATATATTAAAGGTAACGAAAAGAAGCCAATTCCATCCATTTTAACTCCACTGTCATCAAAATGCAAAAAAGGACTGTGGCCCGATGAAAATCCTGATCAGTTTTAATATAATTAAATAAAATATATTAATATATTTTATATTTTTAAATATATACTTTTCTATTAATATTATACGATTTGAGTTTATAAAATAAACTAATCACAATAATAACCTTATGTTTTATTTTAAAAAATAGTAGAAACTTAAAAACTGATTCCGTAAAATGTCTTTTGTCACTACTATACATAATAGACTATTTGAATTTAGTTTTTTTTTTCATTGAAATATAATATTAAACCTAGTTAGTCTGATTCGAAATGGTACGATAATAATATTTATTGGTTCAAAACAAATAAATTTATAAATACGTTAAAACAATAACATATATTCCTGATAGGATCGTAAATTGAATTTCTTGTTTGAAAGGATCCATTAATTATACAAAAGTTTATATTATTAAAAACAAAGAAAAAAGACAAACTAAAGATACAAATTTTCACCCCATTCTTTATATCCTATCAACCAACCTCCTTACAAAGATTACTTTCTACATCCTGAAATCAAATCAACAACCCCTAAACATAAAAACCAAAATGTTCAATTCAAAAGCACAGTTTTTCATCTACAGAATGGAATGACATTGTTGACAATCAACCTTATCTTTTAAATATATGATCAAAAATTTAGTCTTCTATGCAGTTCAAGTGCAGTCCAAGTGTATGAAAAAATCACACTTGGAAAAAGGTTAATCCTTTAAATGCATGCACTGAGGTATTTAGACTTCGAAGATTAATATTTGACTGTCACTTCAGCAACAAAATATTCCATCCACACCAACCAAAACCAAATTTCCCTTCTTAATTACCCCTGGCTGTTCTTTGTTGCTGCATCACAAACACAGAAGCCTTGCCAGCAGCATCAGTTGAAGCCAACAAATCACCAAGCACGCCAAGTTCTGGATACTCACTCCACTGCAACAACCCAGAAGTTTGAGGAGTTTCAATCCCAGCTTGTCTACCAACAATGATCAAATCATACTCAGTCACCAACTTCCGAATCGCCAAAGCCGTCTCAGGTCCATCCCTCACACTCTTCTCTATGTACTTCACAGATGACTCCCCCACCTTCTTCTTCGCCTTTATATCATTCAGAATCTCAGTATCAAGCAATTCCTGCAAATCCGTTATCTCCGAATTTCTCGCAGCGAAAAATCTAACCACAGTGAGCCTAACATTCGGATTCTTCGTCATTCTCTTAGCAAAGAAAAGCGCTTCTCTATCATCTCTCCCTCCAATGAAAAGCATGCAAACAGAGTAAGGCGTCTCGGGGGAGAAAATATGTGTCATTTGCACTCTCTCAATCAATATCCCAACTGAACATGGAGCTCTTTGCATGACACGAAAGTTCAACTCTCTTAAAGACTCATCTTCAATCTCAACGAAATTCCCATCAGAAGACCACTTTTTATGAAAAGGAAGAACAATGAGTGAGGTGAACTTGTTTAATGCCAAAGTGCAAATGTCATCGTACATCATCTCAGTTGGTGAGATTGATGTGTAAGTGTTCACCAAAAGTGCATCCTTGAACTCTTGCTCGAAGTTTTGGAATGCATCGATGAGTTTGTCTGCCATGGAGCTATTTGAGTCGGTTTCTTTCTTGGATTGGAGATTGTGGGAGATAAAGAGAGGGGAGGCTCTTCCGATGAGTTCTATGAGCTGGAGGACGTAGATGCATAGAGGGTTGTCTTTGGTGGGGAAGGTGGCTTCGAGAAGGTTGATGGTGGGGGGAATGTTGTCGGGTCTGTGGATGCATGTGAGGACTCGAAGCTCTGTGTTGCTTTTGAGGTCGAAGATGTTTCGTTTGGTGTAGTTTCCTGAGTATTTCTTCATGGGGTCATAGAGGTATGCAAGGAGCATTGGCATCACCGTGGCGTTAAGAATGATGCAGATTATTACCAACGCAAACACGTTGTCTGGCATGCCCTGCATTACGGACAAAACAAACACAAGCAGAGAAATAATTTATGTTTATGTTTATGTATCAAATCCTAGTCTTTACTTAAGTTATTTAATCGTTTAACTCTACAGGAAATAGAGAGCTGGAGTAACAAGATATGAAATACAGTGCTCACCATGATATCTCTGACAATGGAGACTCCAGCCAATTCGACTATGCCCTTGCCGCTCATAATCAAAGAGAGAGAAACTGCGTCATTCAAGGGCATGTTGCTGTACAAAGGAAGCAAAGTGCATGCAACCAATTTGACAACGGTAGCTACTACAATAATAATCAGGGTTTGCACCATGAACTCGTCAATTTCTCCACTCATTCTGTATCCCCAGTTCATGACGTCTCTGAGGTCCACCCTCATCGCACACGTGGTCACAAATAGAGGCATCAAAACCCAGTTAACAAAAGTGTCAATCTTTTTAATTATGGCAGTGCCTAATGGAGGCCCTTCTGGGGTAGCCAAGCCCACGACAAAAGGGCCAAAGAGAGCCAAAAATCCAATGCGATGTGTGGCATAGGATGCCAACAAAGCCATTATGAATATGCAATACACATAGTGATCACTAACAGGAGAACCCTCTGGGGTCTGTTTTATGATCCAATACATGGCTGGGCGATAGATGAACACAACCAACAGCACAAACAAAACTGCTGCTATGAGGTTAAACCAGGCTTTTGATGGATCTTCATACATAATTTTGGTTATATTAAGGATTGTTATCAAGAACACATTGAACAACTCAGTAACCAAAGCTGCGGACTGGCTTAATCTCCCTAGCTCCGAATTCAGGATCTTGATATCACTTAAAACTAAGCAAACGTTAGGGAAAGGGGTCACAGAGAACAAACCAGAGATAGCTCGAAGTCTTGCTGCCTGACCAAGGTCTAGGTATTTTGCGGAGTGAAAATGCACAACAAGCATGCTGCATATAAGGGGAGCCATAATGGCAATAGACCCTATGTTGGTGGCACATCTTGTAGTCCTGTGGATCACACTCATGTCTGTTTGGACCCCTGTGGAGAACAGGAAAAGCATGTAGCCAAATACTGAAAGCAACCCCAGATTTGCCTGGGAGTCAATAAAGAACAACTGCCTCCACTTCTGAGCCCATTTTTCAGTGAAGGTGGTTGCAAAGATTAGGCCAACCTGCTCAAAACATCCATCACCATATTAGTCAATATTCCTTCAAAAACTTACAGATAAACTTGTCAAAAAGAGCAATTCTAGCACCTGATGACACATTCAACTAAAATCTTAAAGATGCTTTAAAATAATCAGGATTAAATATGTTTTTTATCTTTTAAGAATATCAGATTTTTAGTCCTAGTAAAAACTTATTTTTTTAGAAAACAATAGAAGATAATTTTTTAAGAACCAAAAACATATAGCCGCCAAAGTTTTAAACTGGTGTTACAATTATAGTTTCATGGTGATATTCTTACGATGAGAAATTGCAACAAGAATTCTAATTACTATGACTCCAAAAACCTGGATTTGGCTGCTGAATACAATCACATGTACTTTTTAAAACTTCTTTTAGAGTAAAAACAAAATACCTTAATATTCTCAAATATTAAAAATATACTTAAACCAAATAACAATGAATAAATAATTTAAACAACCCATGAATTGAAAATAAACTTTTCTGGAGATTAAAATAAAACACCATGACATTCTTGTCCATGAAAACATACTTAACCAGATAACAACAAATACAGCCAAGAAAGTGTTAATGTTATCTTAATCTTATTATTGGTTTGTACTCATGCAAAATTTAAAATTGACAAGTACATTAAAATGGATATTGTGGTATGATTAATATGTGTTGAAGGGAAGGACTTACAAGGCTCATGGAAGTGAATCTGGGGATTCCTAGACGACCCAGAATGGTGTGCAAGAAAAAGGTTGCAAGAAAGATAAGACATATCTGCATCTGCAACATTGGCAAAGCATTTTCTGGAAGCATGCCATTTGTGGTGCACCATGGTGTCTCTGAATTAACCCGTGGGGGCAAGTACGTGCATGATGTAACATAAAAATCTATATCTTTCAATTGGGTTGTCATGTTTTATGCATACGTGTTGAATGCAACCCTTATCTTCTTCTGATTTTCCCCCCTCTATGCATGCATCAGAAAGAGAATAACTCACAAGAGAAAACAATAAAGAGAAACTAGCACAACAATGGAGGCTCAATTGCCAGAAATTAAGAAGCTCTCACAGCAGACATTTGTTGTGTTTTTGTTTCCCGAATTTTCAAGGTCAAATAGCAGTCATTTTGTATGATCATTGACAACTAACAGGTTCTTAGTTCATGCAGTTTCCAGTTTCCAATCCAGCAATATAAAATTGAAATATGGATTCTGTTGTTTGTACATTGTAATTGTTGCTGTCAACAAGTTTTAGTCAACAAAAATAGCACTTTAACAAAATATTAAAAAGTATATTATTAACAATTTTTTTATCTATTAATTATTAATCAAGCGAGAGAAAAATATAAAAATAGTGAAAATTACACAACATAACATAATTTATGATGTAAATCAAAGTTTTTTTTTATTGTTTTATTTCTTATTTAAATTTTCTTTTAAAAATAGAAAATCAATATAATAATATATAAACAATAAAAAATAAATTAAATAATATTATAATAAAAATATTATCTTCTTAATTTCTATTAATTTTTTTCTCAACTAAATAACATTTTTTTTCTTTTTTCAGTCCCTAACTTTCCATCATCACATTCAAATAAAACATAAATGTTTTGTGATGAACAAAACTTATGAAGAAAAAAATAAAATAAAAAACACGCCCAAACATCAACCTCGAATTCTATATACACAATATAAATATATTTTGCAAAACTGAGTTCAAAAAACACTTTTACATAAAAACCATTGAAGATTTTTTTACACCCATCAATTTGCAAACATTCAATATATATAATCTTAAAATAATATTCTTTTATTGATTAATGAAAAAAATGAAAGAAAATAAATAAAAAATAATATAGAAATATAAAAATGGTTGTTGATAGATATTTAGTAAAAAATATTGTCTATATATGATTATAAAAAAAAACATTTGTATAATTTTAAGTGTTCAATAATGTTATGTTTTTATCAGTGTCCAAATCAAATCCAAATTAACTCGTTTAATATTTCTGCTCCCAAAACTATAGTTATTTTAGAAAAAAAAACGTTAAATATTGTAGACTAAACTATTTAATTTATTATCTTTTGTAAAATGTGATACTTTAATAGATATAATTAAGGGTATAATTAGAAAAACACTATTAATTATATCTTGAGCTTGTAAAACAACTACAATTTTTAACGGAAGGAATACTAAAATGGACCAAACTCTAACGTTCTGATAACAAACAAGATTTCTCAAATTTTGGGCTGTGTTTAACATAGTTTTTTTTTATGAAAAAAAATCTTTTTAAAGAAATTTTATATGATGTCATAACATTCAAATATACATTTATTAAAATATCATTTTTTTTATTTGTATAAGTACACATTTAAGAAAAAGTAGAAGATAAAATAGAGGGATCTGGAGGAAAAAAAATCATTACAATATGTTCCTCAAAGAAATTATATTTTTCTAATATTAGTTAGATCATAAGACATGAAGAATGGTTCATGCATTCAAGGTTGACTAGAAAGATATCCAAATCTATGAAAAAAAATCTCATTGAACAGTTTAAGAAGGAACTTATATATTCAATTACTCATAAAAGTTAGATAGGACTCTGATAAAAGTTAATCCTTTCATCAAGTGACAAGAAGATCTGATATGAGACAAATTCTTTAGTTAACAGTTTTCTTACAAATTATCTTTCATTGTGCTATAACTATGATATCCTCACTCTTAACGTTGATCTTTGCAAACATTGTTTTCTCATGCAGATTGTTTTGGATAAGTAATTTTGGGTATAAGATTGTTGTCAAATACCTTTATGGTAGAGGGACTGGACATAAGATATGTTATAATAAGGCAGTATAAAAATATAATAGGAAAGGATATGTTAAAATAAACCAGGTGAATGACAAGAACATGTATGGGTAAAATGATATTTGTTGTTGAAGAGATAGTTTGTATTCCTTCCCTGTCCAATACTTGGTCAGATTTGCACAAAGAAAACATTCGAGACAGATAATTGGTATTGGTTCCGTTGTATGAAACAGAAAGTCGCATTATATTGAGTAAATAGAAACAGCCTTGTCCTCAACCAACAACCATGAATTGAATTCAGGTCCCAGCGAAGATGAACAAACCTCATGAAAATTTAAAAAAAAAAAAAAAAAATGAAGAAAATTTATATCTTTAGTTCAGCAATTAAGCTAACCAACAGAAAACATCCAGAGTATAATCGCACACCAAATTATTTATCAACATTGATTCAGAAAAAGTCTTAATATTCCCATTTCTTCAACTCCATGCCATCAGGAGGACTTCCCTCTACCTTCCTTGATCCCACTTCTTTCCAGTTTGTAGACAGCACTGTTCCATTAGACTCCACCTATATAATTGAAGAGAGATCAGGTGCAATGAATACAGCAGCATGCACTGAAGACAAAATTTGCTGGCATTCTCAAAATAATATTTGTGCATGTGATTTACAAGACAAGCCCCAACAAGGAGGAATTAAAAATTTGCTTATGTTTAAGACCATACAAAATGTATATAACTTACAAATGACTTTTTCATTGCTCTTCTTGTATCCTCATCTGCATCTTGATATATTTCCCGGAAAAATTTGTTCAATGCAGCATCGCCATCAAGCTTTTCATCTTTCTCCTGAAATGAAGAATGTTAGGAGTAAGATTTCCACCCACTAAAATACAAATAAATAACACATTCACAAACCTCTTTCTTGACTTGAGCTTCAATCTTGTCCCAATCTCTTGTTTGTTTTGAGGAAGGGTAAGAAGGTCTTTGACTTGCAGTAACTGCAAAATTCATGGAAAGGAATAAAGCATTTTTGCATGAAAATCATGATAAAAGTTTATGGGGGGACATAATTAGATCCATATGTCAATAATAAGGACCAACTGCAAGCACAATTCCTTGCATATGCCCATCAGATCCAGGACAAACCCAATACTCCTTTGCACTTGAAAGCACTGCACATTCGAGTATCCATTAGATTTATAAAAATAATAATCACTAGTCCTTGCCAAACAAAGGTTCACCAGTATTGTAGCTAGAATATCTAAAGGCCATCTAGCCTCTCGTAAAATGGTTTATAATCCTGCAGAGATAAAGTCTCCAGCCATTTTCTCTAATGCAAATCCCATTTCTCATTTCAGTTTCATCCCAACATCATTGTTTCTACAAGGTCCCCAGTAACCTATGCGTAAATCTATTTGCTATGTCTCACCCTATTTGGCAAGTTGTTCCTTGCTCCGCTTTTTTGTGGTTCTTGTTATTGTTGACTTATAGCTATTATTTGCAGGCTCAAGATTTATTTGGATGTCATTGTTATAGACGCTGCTATCCAATCTGCTTGCCACTAGCATTTTTGGGGTCACTCATTTTACAGAACTATCTAGAATTAACTACCTTGATACATTCTGACACACGGGGATTCATATTTCACTGTAAACAAACACCACATAAAGAAAAAGGAAACCATTATACAAAAGTCACCAAACAAGTCATAGAGGAGGAGGGAAACTCCAGAAGTCTCAAGTTACCTGAAGAGGCATTAACCCTCTGTGGAACTACGACGTTTCTGGTGAATTCAAGAGATGTCCAATGAATAGGTTCTGCTTTCTCAAGGCGAATTTCAATTTTGGTGGCCAAAACTTCATACCGGCAATTGGAGGGTGCAATCTGATAAAGGAAAACCAAATATCAACATAGTGTACACTGTACAGAATAAACAAATAAAACACTAAAATAACCACACAAAGGAGTTTAAATGCAACTTTGGAAACTGGACTATCGCCAGAATCCACCACATTAAAACACAACCAAAATTATAGTATACAAATACAAGGATATAAGATACATTTCTCACAGTAATCCAAGCTTTTATGCTGACAAAACGCTCTTGCTCATACCTTTCCAAATAAGCGAGTTTGAAAAACATACGCATCTTCTCCTGGGACATTAATACTAACACTAAGCTACAAGAGAAACACCAGGACGAGGCAGTAAGATTAGAATGTGATTCACAAAAATGAATATAAGTGTATTGAAAGCAAGCAAAAAAAGCATTGACTAAATATGACAATAATGTGAACCATACAATTTGTTCGCCGAACTCAACAGTAATGCTTTCCTTTGGGATTTTCTTAGCAAAAATGGTTACAACCACCTGATCAGGTTTCTGGTAGAATTCATGTCTGCAAAAATTTTATTTTCAAAAGATCAAAAAAGCTTGAGCAATTAATTTAATTTCTTACTTCAATAGAAACTCTTTCAGTTCCCATAGTACAATACTATATCATAAGCAGATAATAAGCAACATGGAGCATTACAGACTCCAAAGGGCCTTTATTCAAAACTGGGGGAATATCCTCTCTACAAGCTAATTGATATATATCAAATCATTCAGAATGTTTTATTGAACAGCTTAACCTTTTTGGATTGTTGGTTTATGGCTTGGTATGGAGAATCCACCTTGACCAAGCAATTTAGAATTTGATTCTTACCACTCGACTATTCTAATACATAGCTGAATTTCTTCACAAGGAGGATGGAACTGCGGTCAGTGTAATGTCCATGCTGCCCAAAGGTCTCTTGAATGAAGATATGTGCCAGGACATTAAATATAGAAAAAAAAAAATTCATTTGACTTTACCCAAATCTTTAACTTTGGGGATGATTACTTCAACCACAGTATTAAAGTCTCTGTATTCAAGTGGTCAGAACTTAGATCTTTCCTCACCTCATTCTTTTAAAGAAAAGATAAATTTCAGTAAAAATGCATTGTTCATGCTAAAGCCCAAAATTGGAAAATGTTAGACAGAGAACCATTCACGAACTTCATCTAATAGATTAAACATTTGGGAGTGTTAATTTTGAAGAAATACAAATAACAAATACCAAAAGATAAGCACAATCAATACAACAGCAGAAGCACTCTTGATATATATATATATATATATATATATATATATATATATATATATATATATATATATATATATATATATATATATATATATATATATATATATATATACATACATATATATAACAATAATCCTAGCCAAGAATATGCATAAACATAAAGTAAAAGCATGTTTGACCTATATTTAGGTTTAGTGACTGCAACTGTTGGCTTCTCTGGAAGATCATCCTGTTGCTGAAAATCTTTTGGATTAACCTCTTGTGCTGTGGCCTTTTCCTGTATAGGTATGGTGGTATAAGATTCTTCTGTTCAACACAACATGTCCATCAAGCTCAAGTCAGTTTCTTAGCCAAAAATGACATAAATCCACATTTTCGCTTTCAACAGTCAAGACACAATCGTCAGTCACATATAAAACAAAATCTAAAACATGAAAATTAAACCCCAAAGACAAATAAGTTTAATCAAATAAGAAGGATTGTGCCATTAGAAAGAATAAAGTTCACCTGCAATAAGCTCGTCACACTCTTTGATTAAAATAGCAAATCTTGAGTTGTCTGGAGACAATGAAGCACCCATCTCCAGAGCAGCCTTGGCAGTCTGATATTCCTCAAGCTTCATGCATGCAGTACTGTAATTGAGACAACAAATCAAAATTAAATCAAGTACAGCACGGTTGAACAAGGATAAAGAATTGAGAACATCTTATGTCAAAATATAAAATAGTATATGATCTGATTATGCAACATAAAGCAATTCCAATCTACTTTTGCCATAGATATCCTCATTAACATTTCACCATCATATAAAACATAGTCATATTTTAAGTTTAAATAAATTATATATTCAAAAATCCCTTCATTATTCAAGAATAAATGCACATTAAATAGTTTAAAGATAGGGCAGCAATGCTTTGATAAGAAGGCAATTGTATAATATGCATATTAGTATCAGATATATATACAATAGCCATTGTCTATTCAGAGTTTAAAGTAAAATTGATTGGGCAAGACACGACTTCAGAATTTGCACGACGTAGCCAAATCAGCCATATACATATTAAGCAATCGCCCTTGTCCCAGGCACGCTTCAGTGTCTAGGCAACTAAGGGGCTGCTTTTAACAACAGTTAGCAAAAGCAACAATATTTCTTGATAATATATATATATACAAAAAGTTTAATTACTCATGTGGTCGCTCTCAATCTTTTACAATATAGTCCTGCACCCAAAAACTACTTATTTTAGTCCTCACACACATGGATTTTTAACTTACTTTAGCCCCAACACATGAACTTATTAATCTATTTCAATCCATACAATTTTGGCCAACGACTAAAACAGATGGTTTGTAAGTGCAGGGACTACCACAGTAAGAGTATGCAGAAATAGGAACCAAATAAATAACCAAACCTATAGAAAAAAATTCAAAGCGAATAATAAACTAATTACCAAGAAAGGGAAAGACAAGGTGGTCGTTGTACTTACCCTTTCCGCAAATATGCTTTTGGCAGAGAAGGATTCAATTCAATTGCTTTGTTAGCATCGGCAACAGCCTCTGTACAAAAGCAAAAAAATCAAAATAGAAATTAGTAAAACATTACAACCACATATCTGCAGGTTACAGGCAACCATGAACATAAATCCCAAATAAACGCTATAAAAAGATTTATTTTCTTTTCTTCATGAAAAAACAACAAATAAAAAAGAGAGCACATACATTAGTCGATAAAAACAATTCTATCTTGGTCTAACTCCCCAACTTCGCCAAGATGACCCAATTGAACACAGATTTATTTGCAACAAAAGGCCCGATGATTCACAGAAAACAGGCAAAAGGGTATTCGAAAAACAAAAACTTTTGAAGGGAGGGAGTGAGGAGGTACCAGTGAAGTGGTTCAATTTGATGTTGGCTTGGGCGCGGTCGGCGTAGAGTTCAGCTTTGTTGGGTTCGAGTTGAATGGCCTGAGAGAGAAGGTCCGCGGCGAGTTCGAAGTGGTCTTCAACGAAGGCCTCTTTTGCTTTCGCTTCAAGATCGGAAGCCATGGAGAGAGAAAGTGGAGGAAGATTCTAGAGAGGGAAAAAGAAGGGTGCGAGTGATCTGGGCTTGGAAGAGAAAGAAGGAATATAAATGATTGATTGAACGGAGAGAGAGAGAGAGAGAGAGAGAGAGAGAGAGAGAGAGGTGGGATGGGTATATAGAGACTGGAACTGGCAAACTGCAAGGGGGAAGGAGTAGACTTTCTCAAGTCTTCCAAAAAAACCATTATAATATTAATCTATTAATCAATAAAGTTAACTATTTATAATTAATAGTGTTAGCAATTAATTATTATTTATTCTTTGAAAAGTAAAATAACTGATAATCATTATGTTTATGCAGTTGTTCTAAATTTGAATTAATGAAACTAGAATATATAAAATTATAATTATGAAGAGATGGGATTCTTCAAATTGAAGAGATCATTTATAAAATCCGACATAACTGCAAACACATTTTTATTAAATTTACAAGTTATTATAGGTTAAAAAGTGGTATCAACTTTTTATATATGCTATATAAAAATTATTTTAGCATCATAAAGCGATTGATATGTTTAAAAGTAAAAAAAATATTTTATTACATATTATAAATTTGAGTGGTTTAAAGTTAGAGAAAATTATTTAAAATTAAAAAAATATTTTTAATAAATAATTCTCAATCGAATTTTAAGTAAATCATATATATAATATCTGTAATAAAATATTTTTTTATTTTTAAACCATCATGACCTTTTTGACATCACTTTTCTCTAAAAATGGACTTATATGATGAAAGGGGACTATAATTTATTAAAAAAATCAAATTTAAATTGAAATTTTATCAAGTTTTTAACTTTTTTAAATTAAGCTAAAAGGAGAGCTTTATAATTTAATACTAAAAGAAACACAACTGTGGTTGCTTTCCTATGTTCAGTTTCTCTTATAATATTGTATTTTTATTATATTAACATTAATAATTATTTTAGGTTGATATTTTTCTAACTACATATTTATCTATATAAATTTATTTTTGCATTCAAATTCGAAAACTATGAAATAATTTCTTATCAACCTCTTCATATTAACCTATTTAATTCAAATTTAAATGTATTATTTAATAATATTATTATATTAAATTTAAATATAAATTAATAGATTAAAAATATATCGATTTAATAATGTTTTAATACATCGATTTTATAAAAAACTAACGTTAATTGGATGTCAATTTTCACTAAATTGACAATAAAAAAAATGTTTCACTCAGGGCTTGCACCCAAAATCTTTCATTAATTTGATTAGCATCAATTGCAAGTGAAAGCATAAATAAAATCATATGATTTAATTAAACATAAATCTCCATGAAAAGTTGTCCAAGTTTCAATAATGAATTAAATTAAAATTTATATTGCAGTCTTGATATTCTATCATTTTAAAAAAATTGAATATATTAAATTTGAATTTATTTTATTTAAAATATTTAAATAGATAATATAATTTAAATTTATTAAAAATGTTTTATTTAACTAAAATATTTTAATTATTATCGAATATAAAAATTATCAAAAATATCATATGAATTAAATTGAAAACACAAAATTTTCTACAAATAGATATTCAAAATTTCATTAGTGAATTATGATGTTAACAAAATACAATCTTAAACACAGCAATTTAAAAAAAAAACTGTTTTTTATACTATTTTTTGAATTCTTGGATAATTCAAATTAAATATAAAAAATAATTTTTGAAAATGATTCATTTTGAATTATTAAGGTTAACAGGTTTCTTCAAACATGTTTTATTTTGTATTGAAATCCAAGCATTGTTTAGCTAAATAGTTTAATTAATTTAATAATACAAAAGTTTTCTTATATGTCTGAATTATTCTAAGAGAAACACTTTTTAACAATAAACAAACTTATACAAAACAAACAAAGTATTTTATGTATTGCAAAACAAAATAAAAAATATATCAGTATTTTTTTAAAAATATAAAAAGTCTTAAATACAAATTAAACTATCTTACTATAGGGAGAAAATCATAAATAAGAAATAAACTTTATAGTGTGATAATTGATTCTAATTTTTTAATTATTATTGTATTAAAAATCTAATAATTAGGATCTTTTAAGTTCTGTAATTCCACATTATTTACCCAATTTTGTTAACCTTAACTGTTTTTTACTATATTTAATAAAATGATATTTTAAGCAGTATATATACTTATATTTTGGATTCAGACGGCCAATTATTTCTTGAAAAAACCCTTTTCACATTAAAAAAATAATAAAACATTAATTTCACTTTTAATTATTAATAAGATAATCAATGTAAAAAAATTGCACAGTTTATGATTCCCAGACAAAAAAAGGTACACTTGTTATAATGAAAAAGTCATATACATTAATAACAGAAGAAATATTAACTATTTAATAAACAAATTATTACTAATTTAAGTCAATACAATGTATCACACTAAAACCAATTTTGCTGATTAGTAAATTGATATAAACTATAATGAATCATTTTATTACTTTACACTTATAATGTCTGTATTAATAATATGATTAAAAGTGTGCATTATTACATTATAGGCCACATTATTACATAATTACATTATAATGTCTGTATTAATAATTTGGTTCTTATTGTTTACCAAAATTATTAGTGTTAATTTTATCCTCGCATTTAATACTATTTTTCTTTATGTCAACTTTCATAAAGAGCACAGAACAAATTCTACCACCCTTATAATTTAGAAATGTAATAAGAATTAATAAATTTGTAAATATATTTTCTTAATAAATTAAGAACCCATAAACATATAATACTGTTTGCTCACATACATTAATGACTTCAATTGCCATTCTAAAATCTATACTTTTAAAAATACCAAGTAATAAAAAATACTTCTAGTACAATTATTATGAAGTTTTTAATAAAAATGAAATGATAAATTATAATTGTATTTTATTGCTTATATTTGTATCAATTGATAAAGACAATCATGTACAAAATTAATATAAATACTAAATTTTCAACTCATCAAAATAAAATAACAAGATCCAAATGTGGACATTAATATATGAAACTTATAATATAATAATAACACATACAAATAAAAAAACAATTAAGTTAAATTTTTAAAAACTATACCAATTTCTTAATTATTAATAATTTATTTTTTCACTATTATTTAATATAAAATACAAATGCTCATAATATTTAATAAAGATAAAAAGAAAACCTAAATTATATAAAAGTTGCAAAATGTCTTATGAACAGATCAATTTCTTGTAAAAGATGCTCTAAAAATAGAAAGTCATAGAAACCCACGAGGGGGATGTCTCTAGTATTTTCTAGATTCATACCAAACACAGAAAAGGAATTCCATGGACAAGAAAGCAACTCAGGAATTCGTTTTGTTCTTAAAGAGAAGATGATGAGAAGGCTAATAAAAGGTTTCGGTTCTTCCCTTCGTCACAAGGCTGAAGAAAAGAAGAAAAGAATTTACGAAAAAGAAAGGAAATGAGTGATCATGGCTATACGTCACATAAAAAAAAGAAAGATAGTTCTTCATTCTCATATTTCTTTTCGTAAAAGTAATATATATATAAATTTTTTTTTTGCAAACTACAAATTATACAGGCCCGTTTATATTTATGGTTTAGGGTCCGATTAAAGTCTCATTCTTTCCTCACCCCTATAATTTCTTTCCACACTCTCATATATGTACTATAACAGATAATATTATTTATATTGTACGAAAATTGATAATTTGAAAAATATTTTGGAATGTATGAAACTAATGGGTTCTAAAAAAAAAATTATAAATTAACGAATCTAATCAATATCTGAATTGATGAATCCCGAAATTTTATAAATCCAAAAATTTCATACACGAAATTATCCAGAAGGTTGAAAAAAAAAAAAATTTTCTGTCTCAGATTGCCCGTCCGATAATTTTTCCGATGGAGTCTGTTAACAAGTGATTCGGGACAAATAAATGCGTGTTTGGGAGTATGTCCTATAACTTTGTTATCTCCCTGGGCAACATTGAGTTTATCTCTATAATTAGTTAGATCCGATTTATTAGTACATATTAAATTAGTGGAATAGTTTTATTTCAAGAGTCTAATCCATTAATTTTGCATGCCAAGAATAAAATAGGATAGATTAAAATGTTAATTTATATTTTAAAAAAATATTTACATGTTAATATTAAAATAAACAAAATTATAATATTAATATTAATAAATTAAACTTAAATTATTTATTATAATTAAATATTTTAATACATAAATATAATTTTTTTTAATTTATTTAATAAAAGATATTAATAAATAAAGATTTAAAATATATTTATATAATTAAATAAATATTTTTTATATATATATATATATATATATATATATATATATATTCCCATTTTTAGTTAGTAAAAAATAACATAAATTAAAACAAAATGAGTTGATCCGTTTTTAATAAATTAGAGATGAAATAAATCATTAAAAATTATCAACTAATTATTAGATTGAGTAATCGAAATAGAATATTTATTTTTCAAAATTCCGGATAATTCTATTTGAAAAAAATTTGGATTCTTCCATCTGAAATTTTTGGATGGTTTAAATTTTCACTTGGTTTAATCCAAAATTTAGAAAAGAAATATTATATGCTATATTATTAATATGTAACAATGCTTGATGTCATTTATTATGGAATTGGTTTTTTCAATTTTTCATTATTTGAATTTTGATGGTACTTATTTTTTTCTTTTTATTCGATGTTATTTTTTTCTTACTCTTTAATATTTAAAAATACTAATCCTCCTACAATTCTAACACTCCAATTAAAATTTGTTGTGATACATTTTCTTATCTATAAATAAATTGGAGCATGGCGTCATTCATGAAGTGACTTATGAAGATATGATCCTATTCTTGAGCATGAAGTTCGACACAAAGCAACATGCATGTGGATTTTAGAATATGTATGCTGGTTTTTCGAGAGGTTCCATG